TGCAAAACGTATCTAAGCAGCCATTTTACATAAAACATTATATTAAAAACATAAGTATAGTGCTGTAAATATGTAATTATAGCATGGAAAGATATAAATGGGTGAGATCTGGGGATGAAAACAGATCATGCAAACATCATGGTTAACTTTAGTCATATATTATCTAAATTACTCCAATTTTTACACCTAAAGTATTTAAAGAGCAACAAAATTAAGTATAGTATATTATGTCTTTATAGGTCCCCTATCACAGAGATACTCTGGAGGATTTTACAGAATTTGAGAGGAAGAATATTCACACTCCAGTGAGAGGACATTCTCACCAGGCAGTGACTGCACAGCTTCCCTGTGCTGTCCTTGAACAGAGAGGGCAGACAGCACTCCAGGTAGTAACTTATCCCAGAATCATGGAATACCAGGCTGCAAAGGAGCTCAAGGATTATCTGACATGACTTTTCTTGGCAAAATCACGGTTGAAATAAAATGGTCCAGCATCCTGTGTAGCTGAATCTCAGTGTCCAACGTTGAGGGATTCAACACTTCCCTGGGGAGATTATTCCAATGGCTGATTGTTCTCATTGTGAAAAATTTACCTTGTGTCTGAACAGAATCTCTCTAGGAGCATCTGGGAAATTCTGGGATTGTTTCCCTGAAAGAAAAACGAAATACAGAAAAGTTTCTTGAATATAATTCCCATCTCAGTTGGGTGTAATTACCACTGTGTGCATGTTCTTGGTACACTGGGGAATTGCTCAAACATGGCAGAGTTAAGGTTCTGTTGTGGAAATGACATTTGAACATATTTTCATGCCTTGTTGTTTGCATAGCCTTTAAAGTTCAGCTGCATTTCCATGTTCTGGAAGGCCATAAAATACTAACCATAAAAAATAATTTAAAAAGCCATTAAAAACATAAAGCTACACAAAATCATAAGGCAAGTTGAACTCGGTGTCACAATGTTTAATCGCTGCAGAGTTTTGTTTGTTTATTTTTTCATGTGTCAGCATCCTCCACTGCTGCCTTGGCAATTATCCCTCCTCCTCCAGAATTCACTGGGTGTGTGCTGGTCCCATCACTGTTTCTGTGTCTCACATCACCACTGCAGCCTTGTCCTTGCTCCTCACTCTTCCTCTCCTAGGAGAGGAGGGGAAGCTGCTGATGGGTTGTTTAAGAGGGCCTGGGCTCGTTTGGAGCTGTGGGATGGTGCCTGAAGGAGAGATAGCAGGAATTTCTGAGGGATTGTGATTTATTATCATCTCCTTGCTTTGAGAGGAGTCTCCCCTGAGTTTGTCACTGCAAAGTTGCCCTTCTTCACACCCTTCCTGCATTCCCTCTGCACTGTCTGGATTCCTCAGGTGTCCTCCAAGAGCCCTTCCAGGATGCCCCATCTGCTTTGGCTCCCCCAGTCTGCACTTCTGCTCCACACACACCGGGACCTTCTCTTCTCAGTGCTGCCTCTTGACCCCGCTTGGTGACTTTAGGGTGACCAGAAGAGGGGAACACGACAAGGCTGTGACAGGAGCAGCAAAGAAAGCATTTGTGCAGAGCTGCTAGCCCATGGGCTAGTGAGGGGGCTGGCCCAGGCAACACAGCAGATGGTGGCAGCGACAGCTTTTGGCATCTCACATCACTCCCACTCATCATCTGACTCCCACACTCCTCCACCTTCAGGACTGCAAATAGGAAGTGTGGATGTGGGACAGACAGCACTGCTGCAGAGGGGAAAGCACAGCGAAAAGCACAGCTCCACAAGCTGCTGCAGCAGCTCACAGGTCAGGGGGTTGGGCTCAGTGACAACAGAGCACAGCAGTGTCACCTCAGCCTTCCCTGAAATCCTCTGCCTTTATTAGCACCCTTGTCCTCCTCTGCACACACCCTCAGGCTCTCAGCCTGGCCTGGCTGGCAATGAGCAAATGTCTAGACCCAGCTCCCCAGTTAATTGATTTTGCAATGCTGATTTTGCTTCCCTGAAGAAGAAATGGGTCTCCTGCACTTGGCTGAAATAAATACTCAGGATTCCTCCTTTGGGGGTGTGAGCAGGGCCACAGTCACGCTCCTGGACATCACAAGTGCCTGAAGAGCAGCAGGTTTTACAGGTGTGGTTATGTGGGGAAGGGAAATATTGGCAGGGGAAAGAAAATGGTTGTTGGGAGTGGGGCAAGCGCTACCTTTGGAATCTCCTCCACAAGTGATCCCAAATTTGCATTACACCGACCAAAACCTGGTAGAAATTCCCTTTTCCCAGCCAGGGAATCCAGTCAGGGAGAGACACATACCAAACAATATTCATCAGAACACCTTTTATTTTTTTAATTGATGTTTTTTGGTTCTTTCTACTATGCACAGGTGATCTTCTGCCTCCCTGATCACCTGTCACAGGCAACCCAGTCTTGAAAGCATGGATTCCTAGAAGGTCCTGAGCTGAAAGGGATCCACAAGCATCACTGGGTCCAACCCCGGCCCTGCACAGTTTGTTACCACCATGGGATTTATAATTTCTGTCCTCAGTATATTTTAAGCTCTCTTCTTCACTCCCAACCTCCACACTCCTGGAGCAGCGGAGTGATGTGGCTTTTTTAGTCCCTGAGTTGTTTCGTTTCTGTTCAAGAGAGAGGATGCTGCACCTTGAGGGTACTGTGCGTTTAACCTCATAGAAATGGCTTTTTGCATTAAATGTGGCTGTTTCTGTGTCAGCCGCTGATGTTGTTGAGCCAGGGATGGGTGAAATGACTCAAATGATTTTAGAAGGTAAAATGAGTGTTTATTTAAAAGCACTTCTCTCTTTTATAGAAAACATTGTGAACATTAATTTCTTTAGTTTTAAAGTAAAAACATTTTACTTGATTGGTATGCTGGACTTAGTTTAGTGTGGTAGAACATATCTATAAACAATATGAACAGAAAGTAAGATAATAGATTGTTTACACTCTCAGACTTTTCCTCAGGTTTAGCTTGGTAGAAATCTTTCTCTTTTTCTCTCTTGTGAAAAATGCCAATCACTTGTTTTTTAAAATTTTGAAAGTTTAATAATGATAAAATGGTTATAAAAATAGTAATACAATTAGAGTAATAAAATTTAGAGTTAGGACAATTACAAGATAACAAAAAACAAAGAATTACAGAGGTCCAGATGCTCTCGGACACTAGGTCACGAAAAACATGCCTTGTGATCAAAGGAATAACCTTAAAAGCAATAGCCTGTTGCATATTCATATATCTCATACATGATGCATAAATTCTTTGCAAATTAATAACTTTTCTGGTTTTTGTCAACTTCTTCCCCTTAATCCTGGTGGTTCCATAAAGACAGAGAGAAGGTGGAAGAATGTTTGTCTTTTCCAATAAGGAGGCTGCAACTCTTTATGTGCCCTGTCGCTGTTATCTCTGTGTGAAGAATTTCTTGATTATCTCATCTCTTGCTTGAGCTAGTAAAAAAAAATCCTACATCACAGAGTTTCTATTTTAACATTATGTTGTAACCTAAAACTATCTTTAACACACTACTTAAGAGAATTAATACAGCATAACTTTCTAACATTACACATATAATATTCATTGTAAAATTTGCGAAAAGCCAATCATAAAATATGCATTTTTAATATATTTTTTCAATATTCAAATATTCATATATTTTTTTCAATATTGCCCTCTGTGCGGGCACTGCTGAGGGACCTCCAGTCCTGGGCCAGTTTTGGGCCAGGACAAGAAGGACAGTGAGGGGCTGGAGCATGTCTGGAGAAGGGAATGAAGTTGGGGAAGGGTCTGGATCCCCAGGAGAGGCTGAGGGAGCTGGGAAGGGGCTCAGCCTGGAGAAAAGGAGGTTCAGGGGGGATCTTGTGGCTCTGAACAGCTCCTGACAGGAGGGGACAGCCGGGGGGATCAGGCTCTGCTCCAGGGAACAGGGACAGGACAAGGAGAAATGGCCTCAAGCTGTCCCATGCGCAGTTTAGGTTGACTGTTGAGAAAATTTTCTTCATAGAAGAGGGACAGGACAAGGCGAAATGGCCTCAAGTTCTCATATGGGCAGCTTAAGTTGACTGTTGGGAAAAATTTCTTCACAGAAGAGGGACAGGACAAAGGGAAATGGCCTCAAGCTCTGCCATGAGCAGTTTAGATTGACTGTTGAGAAAAATTTCTTCACAAAATAGGGACAGGAGAAGGGGAAATGGCCTCAAGCTCTCCCACGGGCAGTTTAGATTGACTGTTCAGAAAAATTTCTTCACGGAAGAGGGACAGGAGAAGGGGAAATGGCCTCAAGCTCTGCCATGAGCAGCTTAGGTTAACTGTTGGGAAAAATTTCTTCACAGAACAGGGCAGGACAAGGGGAAATGGCCTCAAGTTCTCATATGGGCAGTTTAAGTTGACTGTTAGGAAAAATTTCTTCACAGAAGAGGGACAGGATAAGGGGAAATGGCCTCAAGCTCTGCCATGAGCAGCTTAGATTGACTGTTCAGAAAAATTTCTTCACGGAAGAGGGACAGGACAAGGGGAAATGGCCTCAAGCTCTGCCATGAGCGGATTAAGTTGACTATTGTGAAAAATTTCTTCACACACAGAGCTGTCCCATCACAGCACAGCTGCCCAGGGAATTGATGGAGACCCCAGCCCTGGGCGAATTGAAAAGCCGCGTTGATGCGGCACTTGGGGACATGTTTTAATGGTGCAACGGCCGGACTGGATAACCCCGGGAGGCTTTCCCAGCCTAAATAAAACAACTCTGTGAATTTAACGGCGCGGCCCGAGCGGGACCAGCCCGGCGGCGCGTTCCGCCCTCACGCAGGGCCCGCCCGCCTGCCCGTGGCTGCCCATGGCTGCCCGTGGCCGCCGCCGGAGCGGAGCTGAGGGGCGGCCGCGCCGCTCCGTGCCCGCCCCGGCCCCGCAGCGCTCCCGGCATCGCTGCAGCCCCGCAGGATGAGGGGGAAGCGGCGGAACCGGCCCGAGGGAGGCGGCGGAACGGCGGCAGCGCGGACAGGCGGCGCGGGCAGCCCGGAGCGGGGAGGGAGGGCCCGAGCGGCGGCGGCTGAGGGAGGTGGGGCGGGAGGGAAGCGGGAGAGGAGCGGAGGAAGGAGAAGGGGGAAAGGAAAGCCGCGATGCCGCTGTACGAGGGGCTGGGCAGCGGCGGGGAGAAAACCGCCGTGGTCATCGACCTAGGACAGGCCTTCACCAAGTGAGTGCCCCGCAGTGAGGAGGGGATTTGGGAGTGTGCGGTCTGCAGGAGGGAAGGGTGCAGGGAGAACATAGAGCCTCTTCCAGTGATTGAAGGGGAGCCAGAGAGCTGCAGAGGGATTTTGGATAAGGGGTGGAGTGACAGGGCGTGTGGGAATGGATTCACATCGTCAGAGGACAGGTTTAGTTGGGTATTGGGAAAAAAATCCTTCCCTGTGAGGGTGTGAGGCCCTGGCACAGGATCCCCACAGAAGCTGTGGCTGCCCCTGGATCCCTGAAGTGTCCAGGACCAGGATGGACAGGGATCAACCTGGGATAGTAGAATCCCACCCATGGCAGAGGGTGGGAGTAGATGGTTTTAAATTCACCTTCCAATCCCAACCATTATTCCAGCAATAATTATGTGAGGTTTCCCCCTTTCTGTGTTGATCTGTGTGGTGTGGAGCTGGTAATGAACAGCCTATCTTGTGTTTTAGATTAAAACAAGATTTAGCTCGAGTGCTGAAGCAGGAATGCTCACTATATTTTTAATATTTCACCTCGTGGGCCAAAAGCTTTGTTACCTGGGAATGAGAGGATTTTACATCCCCTTCATGGATGGGGACAAGATTCCCATGGGTGGCTTTTTGTGGATTCATGCTGTGTGGCCAGTTGTCCCAAGTTTGGGGTGCTTGTGAGCTTTTATTCCCTGGGCATTGTTTATCCAGTAAAACCCTCTTTTGGAAATGCTTTTTCCCTGGATAGTGTGTTTTTAGGATCTGTTTCCAGCCTTCACTGTCACAGAAGTAATAGCAGCTGAATTGTATGAGAAGTGTCTGTTCTGTTCCAAATAAGGCTGAAATTAGCTGAAAGTTCAAGGAAAACTGCCTCTACACACTGGGACTGCACAAGTATCTGTTTGAGAGAAAAGAAGAAAATTAAATTCTGAATTGTGGCTGTTTCAGGATTTTTTTTCTGAAATGATCCAACATATTGACATCTGCCAAATACCAGAATCAGACATTAATTTACTTGTTGCATTAAAAGTGCTCCAAGTCTAACAGCTTTAAAGAAAATGGTAGTTTTCTTCGGAGATTCGTAATCACTGGGAGTGACAGGGTTGGAACAAATATCAGCCACCGAGACTAAAATAAACCTTGAATTCATTTTGCTTTTAATTTCCTTTCTTCAGTCCATGGTTCTTGTGTGTTTGAGGAAGACGAGGTGGGATTCTGAAAAGTTTTGTTTGGGGTTGTTGCTGTTTTTATCCTTTTGTTGAGGGAGTCAATAAAAACCAATACAAAACCTTTATCTTTTAGTTAATCTTTAAATTTATCTCCTAGTGGCTGGATAGGAAAACTGTGTGCAAAACCCCTCTCTGCAATAACAGAATTCCCTAATTCATTACTCTGTGATTGTCCCTAGGCCTAGGGAGCCAAGTGGTGACTTCAAATAATCAGGTTATTAACATTTTCTGTCAGGTGTGGGTTTGCAGGAGAAACAGGACCAAGATGCATCATCCCCAGTGAAATCAAGAAACCTGATGTGTCAAAGGTGAGCTGGTTTTATGCTGTTTGGTGTGTTATGGCATAGCAAGAATTTGCAGATGCTTTTTCTGTCCATCACAAGCCATTTTTCACTGCCTGGATAAAATACCCTGAAATATTATTATATTTTTAATTCTTTTAACTGCTGCTGTTAAAACCTGTGAGTAGGTGCAGGTAAGTGTGATGCCAGTGCTGGTGTGTTAATTGCTGCTCAGCCCCCATGGAACTTGTGTTTTGGGGCATTTATTGAGAAGTTGCTTTGCCTAGTTATACCTTTTTTCCTTTTCATTTAGTGGAGGGTGGGAAACTAATTCTAAGTTGCCTGTATGAAAAATTATCATTAATTAACTGTGGAATTCAGTTATGGTGTGGGTTTATGTGATGTTTTAAGGACAAAGAGCAAATCAGGCAAGAGTGAGTATTTATATACAATGTTAGATTAAATATATATTATGCGTGTATTTTATATATATCTTTATATATCATGTGTGAAAAAAAAATATATGTATAGAAATAATCACTGCTCAGCATTTGAGCTGACTGTGGATGTTTTCCCTTCCCAGCCTGTCAAGGTGGTTCAGTACAACATCAATACAGAGGAGCTGTATTCCTACCTGAAGGAATTTATCCACATGCTGTATTTCAGGTAGGAGACACCTCCCAGGTATCCAGGCCTTCCCTGAGCACTTCCAGGGATGTGAGCAGGGGCTGGGCTCTGCCTGGTGAGATAGGAAAACTGAGATAAGGCTTTGCAAGGGGCTGCCTGGCTGTGTTGGTGCAGGAGGAATTTGGTGGTGCTGAGATGCAGGTTATCTTACAAAGAGTTCCTGTCCTGCAGCAGCAGTTGCTCAGTAAAAGCAGAAGGTGTTTGATAAATTCCTTTCAGCTGAGGGATTTATAAAGGGCCTGAGAAGGGGAAGGCTTTACCTCAGGAGCTGCATTGATTTTGGCAGGGCTGAAGCTCCTATCAGTTCAGAGCTCTCTTCACAGTGGTTTGGAAGGAGGAATGTTTTTACCTCACCAATACATCTCTTTGTTCTGTTTTAAGTACCCTTAGAGAATAATTAAATTGGACTTGGTCTTTTCTCTTTGCTTCCAGTCCATATTTTTACACAGTGAACACCATCACAGGGAAACCAGGATTTAATTTCTGTGCCTCAGATCTGCTGTGGCCTGGGTGGTTTTCTTCTCCTGTGCTGGACCACCACTTTGCAATTGAAAATAGGACTATTCCATCCTTTTCCACTGAAATCTGGGTATCAGAGTATCATCATTCTTATGTGCTTTATGACATTGGATAAGTCATTGGTTACTTATTTTGTATTACTTTATATCGATTTAGAAATGTATAATGAATTTCCTGACTTTCTTTCAGGAAAGCATTGGGGTTTTTAGATTTATGAAAAAGACTTTGTGGGTCTGCTGTAGCAAATGCTATTTAAAGGCAAATCTTTAGGATTTTTAAGGAAAATGGAATATGACTGTAGGATAGATCACATATCTGCTTAAAGTTCCCTATTTTATTTTGCACATCTTGTCTTTTTTTTAGGCATCTGCTGGTGAATCCCAGGGACCGGCGTGTTGTGATCATAGAGTCAGTCCTGTGCCCTTCACACTTCAGGGACACCCTCACCAGGGTCCTTTTCAAGCATTTTGAGGTAAGTGTTTGACAGAAATGTGTACATTTTCTCCACTTGCCAGGAGGAATTTTGCTTACAGTCAGTACCAGATATGGGAAAAAAAAAAAAAAAGAAATAAGAAATAGTGGCACAAGAGTGAGAGGCATAAAGAAGAAAAATCAGATGATGGTGTGAGGAAGTAGGGTGTGGAAGTTGGATTTAAAGACCATTTTGTTCCATTCTAACTCCTAATTAACAAGACTCTGCAAGGTTTCCCTGGCTTGTAGTTAATACAGCTCACAGTGCTCTGTCCCAGACAGATCCAATAATCCCCACTGAGCACTGCCTGGAGCCAAGATTTCTATTGAAACACTTCTTAGTGCCTTGTCAGCAAGTCTCATGATTTCTGCCACAGTCAATATCTGCCTAGCACACGGCTGTGCTCATTTAGAGAAGAACTTATCTGAAATCAAATATCTGTTCAGTCTTTTTGAAGAAAAGTTGTTGGAAAAAGAAACCTGTGGCTACCCCATCCCTGTCAGTGTCCAAGGCCAGGCTGGATGGGGCTGGGAGCAGCCTGGGATGGTGGGAGGTGTCCCTGCCCATGGACCTGGATGATCCTTAAAGTTCCATGCAACCCAACCAGTCAAGGATTCTGTGAAAAGCTGGTTTGAGTTGGTTTTTTGAGGCTTTTTTCCTAATCTCTCTTGCAGCAATAAAATGTCTCAGCTAAAGCACATCCCCCATGAAAAATGGTTTGTTGAAAATGGCTCATGTATTCAGTCATATTTTGATGGAGAGATGTTGTAACATGTTAAGAAGCCAGTTAATACTGATGGAAATTTAATTTTCTCTGGTTTCTATTTTTCTACTTGGTGCAAAGAGTGGTTTATTAATGCAGGTCAATATTTTACCTTCTGGCTCTGGGTTAAAGGTCAATATGTTTCCTGTAAATGCAGGATTTATTAAATTTCTCATTTAATTCACACTTCAAAGTGTTCTTTTAATTGAACTGTTGCTTTCTAGGAAATTTGATTAGTGGAATTCTAGGAGAAGGAAGTCATTCTCATGTAATTTTAACTTGAATTTCCACATTGTTTTTGTGAGTGTTTCAAACAAAGCCTCTTCTGTTTGGGTGCAGCAATGTTTGTCATAAGGTACAGTTTTATGGATTTTCTAGCTCATTTGTTCACATCTTCAAGTTTTTACAGCTTTTGAAGGTGCTGTACTCCAGCTTCTTTCATTTTTTTTCAGTAACAATATAAAACTGGACCTGAGTTTTATAGCTAACACTTGATTTTCTTACAAGCCCATTCCAACATCCATCATTACTGAAGTACCTGGTGTGCACCACAAAGAAGATGGACACAATTTGGAATCCTGTTGTATTTGTTGATTAGATTAGCACTGGAATAATTCAAGATAGAGTTGTTTGGGTTTTGCTTTTAAACTGCCATCCAGGGAAGGCATCAGTGCTTTGGTTTTTTTTGGGGTATTTTTTTCCCCCTTCTGCCAACTTTGCTTTTGGTTTCTGTGTAGGTACCTTCTGTTTTGTTTGCTCCAAGTCACCTGATGTCTCTCCTGACACTGGGGATCAACTCTGCCATGGTGCTGGACTGTGGATATGCAGAAAGCTTGGTGCTGCCTGTATCCTTTCGTTTTCAGTGGGGCTCTCATGAACGGGAGATTTCTTTTTTTACTAGAAGTTAAACTAGAAAAGTAGTTAGAAGGTGGCTGAGTGTAGGGATTGTAGAAGGAAAAAGGCATTTCATTCCAGGAGACTGCAAAATAATGAAAAAGAGGAGAATTTCCTGATCTTCCTGTAGATCTATGAGGGAATTCCAATCCTGAGTTGCTGGGGTTCCCTTCCCCTGGGAGGAAAGGCCATCCACAAGTAAGTTCATAGATATCCATTCCAGATTACAAATTCTTTATTTGTGAAAGTTCCTCTTTGACCATGAGCAAAAGTTCCTCTTCTACATCTTAACTATAGAGTTAAAACTGTGTGACTGTTGCTGATGTGGTAAAAACTGTGGGAATGGGGTCTCCTTAAGTTTCTATTTAGAAGGATGTAACTGGAAGGAATGAATCCTGTCTCTGGAGTGTAGTCCAGAGAGCCAGGCTGAGTTCATGGATGTCTTTCCCCACCCTCCTGGGCACTGTTTTAGGGAGCTGGAGTATCAGCTGCTGGAGCAGTGCACGGTGGATACGGGACTGGCCAAAGGACAAAGCCTTCCCTCTGTGATGGGTAAGGACTGGCATGGGACATCTGTGCTGGGAACTGCTCTGGGGAAAGGGTGGTAATCCTAACAGAGAATGAAATGGGTTTAGGATTCACTGTGTCTCTTGTGGCCTACCTGCATGAATTCTTTCTTGCCATGCTGGCTTGGATCAGGAACAGCGTGGCCAGCAGGAGAAGGAGGTCATTGTTCCTCTGTACCTGGCACTGCTGAGGCCATACCTCGAGTGCTGTGTCCAGTTCTGGGCCCTCAGTTTGGGAAGGATGTTGAGGTGCTGGAATGTGTCCAGAGGAGGCACCGAGGCTGGAGAGGGGCTGGGAACACAAACCCTGTGAGGAACCACTGAGGGAGCTGGGGGTGCTCAGCCTGGAGAAAAGGAGACTCAGGGCTGACCTCAGTACTCTCATCACTCCTGAAATGTGGCTGGGCTCAGGTGGGGCTGGGCTCTTTCTCCAGGCAGCACTGACAGAACCAGAGCACACAGCCTTAAGCTGTGCCAAGGGAAATATAAGTTAGATATTAGGAAAAAGTTTTTTACAGAAAGAGTGATAAAGTTCTGGAATGGCTGCCCAGGGAGGTGGTGGAGTCACCATCCCTGGGTGTGTTTAACAAAGCCTGGATGTGGCACTGGGTGCCAGGGTTTAGTTGAGCTGCTGGGGCTGGGTTGGACTCTCTTGAAGGTCTTTTCCAACCTGCTCATTCTGTGAATTCTGTCATTTCACAAGTATATTATTTTTATGACAAGCCTCTTCTCACAGCAGTTTTGAATAAAGGCTGAGATAAAAGTTCTGTAGTAAGTTTTCAGTCTGTTTTGAGCAAAGACAAACTTATTTCTCTTATTAATCTCTTTTCTGCTTTGCAAATCTTTGAAAGCTGCTGTCAGAGTGAAAGTTTAATATATTAAATGTAATTCAAACTTAGAACAAAACATTTTTTTTTAAGTAGGAAGAGAATAAGAGAATTTAAGAATGAAACTAAGTTGGTTTTTTTGTTTATTTCAGGCTCAGTCCCAGAAGACATAGTAGAGGATATAAAAGGTAAATTGTTTGCTTTGTGAAACTCTAGTGTATGAAATTGTGCAGTAGAGTGTGATAATAAGAAGTGTGCAATATTTTACATTTAGGAATTTATTTCTCTTTGTTGTATTTATTACCTCCTGGATGAGCTTGTGTTGTTCTTCCTCTTTGAAGGCAAAACTAAAACCAGGTTTTTAATTCCTCTTTCACGTTAACCTCTGTGTTGTTAAATTGCAACTTTTATATGTATTTGATAGGTGGGCACAGAAAGAGGATTGCACTGTTGTGTAGTCTTGTTTATTGATTAACTAGAAAGGCTCAGTTTGCTTTAAAGTCAATTTAAAAAAAAAATATTAATAAAAGATATTTTGGTGTGTTAAGGTAGGCAAGAGGAGACAAGAACTACATTTACTACACCAGAAAAAATAGAGTCTTTCTTTGGGCAGAACTTGGACGAATTCCTATGTGATTGTTACATGTGCAGCAGATAGAAAAAGATGTGTTTTCCTAGAAAACAGTAACCAGTATGTATCCCTTGGGTCAAATTAGGAAGAAATCCATCAGTCAGATGCAAAATAAATGCAGCTGGTGCTTTATGAAATGGAAGTTGCTTTTCTGATTCCTGGATTTGCACACTTTTTCTGATGAGTTGTGTTTTCTGCGCAGCCTTTTGGAACTAGAGACACCAGGATAGGGATGAAATTGTTGCTGTCTGTGTGTTGGGTTGTTTATCTGTGACAGCAGTTTATGGGGGAGATGCTCACCTGTGCCAATACAAATAATTAAATGTATAATAACAGTAGCAGCTGGGATACAAATGAGACTGTGCTCTGTCAGTGTTGTCTGGAAGCAGAAAAAGCCTCTGGAATTCTCAGGGTGTTGAATAGTTGCAGTAAGGAAAATGTTGCATGGTAGGAGCCTGTTTAGGAAATGAGCAATGCCTTATGTGAAGCTGTGGTGCAAAGCCTGCAGTGAAGGCAGGATACAACCCCTGGCACCTCGAGGCACCATTAGGAGCATCCCTCTGGCTTTAAATCTTGTGTGGACTTGCAAAGAGACTGCTTCTCTTTGCATTTATTTGATAATATCTTGGACCAGCAAGGGCCTGGAGTGTGTGTTCTTCTCTAAATTAAGAAAATGGCTGTTTTTGCTGGTGATAAAAGGATCCACCAAGGCCTCACTCGTGCCCCTCTCTTCCTTCCCCTCTGCACAGTCCGCACTTGCTTTGTGAGTGATCTCCAGCGAGGGCTGAAAATCCAGGCAGCCAAGTTCAACATTGATGGCAGTGCTGAGGTGAGTGGAGGATGAAGGAGGATGAAGCTCTTCCTGCTCTTTGGAGGTGGCTGTAGCCTTTGTGGGCTCTAAAATAATAATACAAGTCTGGTTTTGTTTCCAGCGTCCCTCACCGCCTCCAGACGTGGACTATCCTTTGGATGGAGAAAAGATTCTCCATGTAGTTGGCCCCATCAGGTGAGAAGTGCCATAGCAGAGTATTTGTCATTACAATGATATATTTCAACTCTAAAAGCACATAAGTTTTCATAAAATTGGATTTTAATGAGACATTTGCATATGCTTTTCATGGCTCTAAAATGAAAGCTGTGTGCTGGACACAGTGCAAGCCCATGATGGGAGGGGATGGCTTCTCCAGAGCCACAAGAGGAGGAGGATGAGAGCAGAGAGATTGGAGGGATGGGGGAGGAGAAATGAGTATCAAAGCCTGCTAAAAGGACAGGTTTAGTGATATGAACAGGGCATTTGAACCTGGAGAGAAAGAGGCTCAGAGGAAACCTCCCTCTGCAACTCCTGCCAGGAGGGTGCAGCCAGGTGGGGCTGGGCTCTGCTCCCAGGGAACAAGGGACAGGACAAGAGTAAAGGGCCTCAAGTTGACTTGGGGAGGTTTAGATTGGATATTAGGGAGCCTTCACTGAAGGGTTGTAAAAGCACTGGAACAGGCTGCCCAGGGAAGTGGTGGAGTCACCATCCCTGGAAGTGTTCACAACACGTGTGGATGTGGCACTTGGGGATGTGGTTTAGTGATGATCACGGTGCTGATGCTGGCTTGAGAGCTGAATGTGATGACCTTAAAGGTCTTTTCCAAGATTCCATGAGTGTCCCAAGGAGTCCAGGATTGTCCCCTCCCTGGTGGCAGTGCAGTGTGCATGGGCTGTGTGACAGGAGTGACAAAGTGTTGGCAGCAGGAAGGCTGGAGTTATTTCCAGCTCTGCTGTGCCCCAGCTCAGAGTGGCTCTGCTGCTCATTAACACTCACTTCTCCTGTCTGTGCCACAGAGACTCCGTGGTGGAAATCCTCTTTGAACAGGATAATGAAGAGACATCTGTTGCCACTTTGATCTTGGATTCACTTGTTCAGGTATTTTTATATCAGAAACACTTTAGGTGATGCCTCCAGCCTTGGACAACCTGCAGTTAAAAATGACTCAAGACTTTGAGTCCTGGAGGCTGCTGGTTTGCCTGTGCTAGAATAAAATCAATTTGGACATCATTATTGCAGGCAGTATATTAAATTTATTGCAGATTTTTTCTTGGGGTATATAAATGCTTCATTTCTTATTATATTTAGAAAAAAAATTGCATTAGAAAACCACTATAAATGGAAATTTTCATTATGTGTTGGTGTGTATATGTTAATTAAAGTTGGCTCCCTGTAGCTATTGATGCCATTTAAATAAGTTTGCTGAGATGCAATTTATTGGAGAGCCATGGACTTGGCTGATATGACAAACATTTCAATTAGAATTCTTTATGAAAACAAATTGTTTAAGAAGTTCTGTGCCTGGAACCTTCACCTCTGCACCTCCAGGCATTTCTCTCATTATCTTGGTTATTTTCCAGCTAAATATGAGAAAACAGCAATTGGAGGGCGCAGAAATGGACTGAATTTCTAAGGGACTTCTGAATGGCTTTAAGCTCAGGCAGTTTGATTTATTTGGGTTTTTTTTGTGTCCCTGTTTGCATTAGTGCCCCATAGACACCAGGAAGCAGCTGGCAGAGAACCTGGTGGTGATCGGGGGCACGGCGATGCTGCCGGGGTTCCTGCACAGGCTCATGGCTGAGATCAGACACCTGGTGGAGAAACCCAAGTACAAGGAAGCTCTTGCCACCAAAACCTTCAGGATTCACACTCCCCCTGCCAAATCCAACTGCGTGGCCTGGCTGGGAGGTAAGAATGGGAACAGCTGGGAAGCAGGGGTGAAAAAAAAACCCCTTTTTAGCAAACCAGAACAATTTCTGTGCACCAAATTCTGTGATGCTTTTCTTCCCTGGTCAGCTGCTGTGGGCTGAATCTTCTCACAGTTGTGGTGCAACTTTTTGGGGGTAAAAGTTGCCCTGAACACAATGGGGTTTGGTTGAAGTGCTTCAAATAAAAACTTTGTTGTAAGAAGTGGGTCAGTCAGGCCAGGTTTGCTGTCAGCAGAGAGCAGATGATTCCTTGTTTTCAGTTACTTTCCAGGGATATAAATGGAAGCAGTTTGGGACTAGCTGGGCTACTGAAAAGGAAAGCAGCAATATCCATTCATCCCTTTACATTTAAGGGCAGAGCTAAAAAATCCCAGTTGAGATCCTCAATGGGAAGAAGCAGAAAGAGAAATTCTCTGGAATTAATGGAATTAATGCAGATTTTAAAAAATTGAATGAATCATTTCTTTTAATGAAATTAATGCAGATTAATTCTCTCTGGAATTAATGCAGATTTTTTTTCTTTGGCAGGAGCAATTTTTGGAGCTCTCCAGGACATCCTTGGGAGCCGCTCTGTGTCCAAGGAATATTACAGCCAGACTGGCCGCATTCCTGACTGGTGCTGCCTCAACAACCCCCCTCTGGAAATGATGTTTGACGTTGGAAAAGCACCCCCACCACTGATGAAAAGAGCTTTTTCCACAGAGAAATAGGCACTTAAATTCCACACAAGGATTCTGCCCCGTTTCAACTGCATCCATGTGCATCGGGGTTTGGGTTTTGTTCATTAATTTGTGTGTAACACTATTAAATATGAACAACGTGGGTGTTGTCAGGGTGTAGGCACTAACACTGTTTAAAACCCTGTCCAGTTATAGTTTACAAACTTAACTCTGGCAGCTCCTCTGCTCTTTTGTCTTGTTTTGAAGAAATTCTGTCCCCTCAACGAGCTGTTCCCTACTGAGTTGTTTATTATTTATCTGTATAGTAAATGCATTGCTGAGAGAATTTGGTTTAAGATATTTTCATTTTAAGCATGTTAAGAAGAATGAACAGCACTAGGGAAACATCTATGATTATTTTTAGTGCCAAATTCTGTATTAAAATATTCCACCCTTGAGTCACATGTGAAGAAATGGTTTGGGGCTGTTCAACAAAGGTAATGTAACATTATTTCCCCTTTTGTAAGAGTTTTAGCAGAGAACTCTTCTACCTGTAATCCTCTCATCATGCTGAGCTAAAACCTCTCCCTATGTCTCCTCCAAGAAAGATTTCAGCAGTGTAAGAGTATAAATTATTATAAATTAATTATAAGCAGGTGTGAGGTCAACCTTGACTCAGTGGCTACACAGTGACTGCTGGTACCTGCTGGTTACTGAGGTGTAAATCCTGCCCTGAGGAGCAATTTTTGTCTCAAATTTGGGAAGATAAATATAACATTTCTCGGGGTGGTGAAGCTTTTTATTGGCACAAACATGGTTTTTTGTGACAGATCTCCCCGTGCTGCCTGCTGCCCACCTGCTGTGTGCCTGAAGCACGACTCTGCAAGTCAAACAGATATTTAAAGAAATCTTCTTCTGGTGAGCCTTAGCACAGGGAATGTGCTGCAGCACTTCAGTAACTCCTGCATGGTTTTGTCAGTGTGTTTTACCTTAAAAGGTGCTGCTAGTTTTTATAGTTGGGGGATGAGGTTAGTGTTTCAGGGATCATCTCCTGCTGCTGTTCCAGGCTGGATAAACAGACAGTGTCTCATTGCCAGGCACAGAGAGCCAGCCTCAGGCGTACAGAGCATGCAGCCTGAGCTGTGCTGCTTATTTTCAGTCACAATCTGGGTAATTTGGGGTGCAGGTTTTGTTTTACCTCAGTAAGAACTGAGCCAGAGCTTCCTGAGAGAGGAATTTACCATCAGGACGAGTCCCATGGAGCTGGGAGCTCCTTCCCTTCTCGGTGGGAAGGAGTCAGGAGCTGAAACTCCTACAGAGCCTGTGGTGGTGGTGGTGCAATGATGTCATTTTCCTGAGCTGCAGCAGACTGCAGCTGAGGAAATTCAGGATATTCTTAGCCCTTCCTTTCCAGGGGTATTTCTGTGCTGCTCTGCGCACGTACCCTGGGACCTCTCCCGGCGTGTTCTGCCACCTCATCTTCCTTCTGCCCACTCAGATCTCCTCCTGTGGGGTTTCTGCATCACTGAAAAGCCTCAGCTGCTTCTGTTTTACGTGGCAGGGACAGAATTCCTAACTCCCGTGTTACTGCTGGGTTAAGTGCAAGGACAGAATTCCTAACTCCCGTGTTACTGCTGGGTTAAGTGCAAGGGCAGAATTCCTAACTCCCGTGTTACTGCTGGGTTAAGTGCAGAGTCCCAGGACCTGCTAAGGCAGATTTTTATTTCATTGAAGGAGTGAGAAAGACTCTAATAGCCCTGGAGAGCCCTCAGAGTTCACATCCTACACGTGTAATGGTGTAGAAATGGTTGGGTTTTCACCCTGTGGTAGTTCTTCTGTCCCCGACACAGCTGTGGGATCATGGATCATCCCAGCAGGCAAATTCACAGTGCCTGGTTTAGCAGAAAGGACAGTGACGGACACAAACCCCTGCAGGAACTGGAGGATTTCCCTCTGAGGCTCTTCATTCTGGACTGGATGCCATTCCAGCAGGTTGCTGTTGGCCAATTGCAGACAGCTCCAGGTGAGTCCTGCTGCCTGGAGGAGGATTTTGGAATATGCAGGAGCCCACTGTGGTCTGCCTGTGCCAATGCTGCGGCTGCAGGAGCTGTTCCCTGGGGGAAGTGGCTTTATCTCATTCCCTCATCTCCCTTTTCATGGAATCAGGTTGTCTCAAGTCAAAAGGGACCCCTAAGGCTCATGGAGTGCAACCCCCTGCTCCTTGCAGGACTAAATGAAATAAATCCTACGGCTTTAGGAGAGCGTTCTCCAGATGCTCCTTGAGCTCTGGCTGGCTGGGAGCACTTCCCTGGAGAGCCTGTTCAGAATCCCGGAATGGTTTGGGTTGGAAGGGACCTTAAAGCTTACCCAGTTCCACCCCCTGCCGTGGCAGGGACAGCTCCCGCTATCCCAGGCTGCTCCAAGCCCTGTCCAACCTGGCCTGGAGCACTGCCAGCGATGGGGCAGCCACAGCTTCTCTGGGCACCCTGTGCCACCTCCCACCCTCACAGGGGTGAATTTCCTGCTACCCTAAACCTCCTGCTGCTCTCCTGTAGTTCCTGTGTTCAACCGTCCTAGATGGAGAATCCCAGCCTGGCTCTTGTTACATTCCTATGGCAGGTGCTTGCCCAGCTCTGGTTTATCCAGGGATTTCTGTAATTCCTCTCTGTCTTCCAGGGAGCCCAGAGCTCCTGCTTGATTAACACCTGATTGTTTATTAAAAAAGTAAAATACCGCGGGAGCCGCTGTTCAGCGGTCACTGCCCAGCCCCTCGCGGCTCCAGCTTTGTTATGCACGTCATTCCTGAGTGGAAGTAACTCACAAAAACTGAGTTTTCCACTCATTTACGGGGTTTTCCCTCAGGAGTCGGCGTTTTCCCGCCTGGAACCCTTCAGGGGGTTCAAAAGTAATGCGCCCAACGTGGGGCTCGAACCCACGACCCTGGGATTAAGAGTCCCATGCTCTACCGACTGAGCTAGCCGGGCTCTGAAACAGCTTTCCCCAGTATCTGTAATTGGACGTAGTACGGGTGACGTCACCGCGGGCGCGCGGCGCGGCGGCCAATGGGCGCGCGCGTTGCTGGGCGGTGGGCGCGGGTCGGGCTGGGAGCGGCGGCGCCATGAGCTCCATCGGCACCGGGGTGAGCGCGGCGTGAGGGGGACAGCGCCGCCGGCCCGGCCCGGCCCCGCCGCGGCCGCCGCAGCGCCCCGAGCGGCCCCCGCCGCACCCGCGGCCTCCCCGGGCCGGCGGCGAGCGCGGCGCGGCGGCTCCGGGGCGCTGCGGGCGGCTGAGTCACTGCGGCCCGGCAGGCCCGGGGAACCGGCGGCGGGGCGGGGCGGGCGCCGGGATAATGCACTTATAGCCCTCTATGTTATATACCTCTGTGTAATTCGAATGTATTGCTGTGATCCATCCGTTTAAATTAAGTGGGGGTGTATGGGGAGACACTGTTGATCGGGAGCTGTAGTGGCGGCGCGGGAGGTGAGGTTTGATTTGGGCAGGAATCGTTCCCTCAGAGGCTCTGCGGCCCCACAGCAGCTGCCCCCGGATCCCTGGCAGTGCCCAAGGCCAGGCTGGACGGGGCTGGGAGCAGCCCGGGACACTGGGAGCTGTCCCGTCCGTGGCAGGGCTTGGAACTGGATGATCCTGAGGGTTCCTTCCAACCCACACCGCTCTGGGGTTCCGTGGGATGTAAAGGTAGACAAAAGCTCCCATAGGTTTGGGGTGTTGTGTAATGCTCAGTGATTGCACATTCAGGATTTGCAGTGTGGGTACATCCAGCATGGCCTCTCCTGGCTTTTTAAGTCTCTGTTTTCTTCTGTTTCTGCATCTTATGAGAGGGATCAGCCTGCTCTGGGGGTTTCACACCAACTCTGGCAGTGACAGTATTTAATTTTTTTAATTATCTGAAAATGCTGTGATATTATGTGGGTTTTTCTTCCTGAGATTTGTGTCTTTTCCTTCAGTATGACCTGTCAGCTTCCACGTTTTCCCCAGATGGCAGAGTATTCCAAGTGGAATATGCTATGAAAGCTGTGGAGAATAGCAGGTAAGATACAAATGTCTCCTCTTTTGGCCTCTTTTAAAGCAGTGCTGTTGGACTAGAGAAACGCAAGGGTAAAACTGTGGTGGTAAAATGAGTTCTGCTCTAAAAGCCCATTTTTGGGATGTGGATTGAGGTGTGCTCAGAACCTTCCTTGTAAATGTGTATCAATTCCTAGGGATTCCTCAAGACACGGAGGACATCCAGGAGCTGCTGAAGCTGCTCTGGGAGTGTCTCTGTTCCCTGGAGTGTGTGTGAGGGAATGGTGGGAAGTGGAAATCCCAGCTGTGCTTTAGGGGCAGCAGGATGGATTGGCAGGGTCACCCAGGGGTCTGTCTGCTCCAGATAAGGATTAGAACCACAGAATCCCACGATGATTTTTGAGTTAAAAGAGACCTTAAAGACCATTTAGTTCCACCCCCTTGTTGTCTACCTACCTTGGGAGAAATTATGTTTCTTCTGTCTTGGTAATTGTTAGTGAAGTATTTTACATTGTGAGAAACTGACATGTTTCTTGTCTTTCAGTACAGCAATTGGGATAAGATGCAAAGATGGTGTTGTGTTTGGAGTAGAAAAATTAGTCCTGTCCAAGCTTTATGAAGAGGGGTCCAATAAGCGCCTCTTCAATGTCGACCGACACGTTGGGATGGTAAGGTGCCACTTCATTTCAGGTCTGCTGAAATTTTAAGGTGACCCCCCTCAAAAGGACAAATTTATCAATCAGAGAATCAAAAATAAGTACATTAAGAAAGTAATGTGAATGTCTGTGTACAAAGTCAGAAATGCCAGTGTTTTTTTACTGCTTTCTGTAATTTATTCACTAAAACATACATAAGTAAAATCCAAACTTATAGTAGAAGTTTAGTGTGAGGCTTCTATTTTAAGAAATAGAGTCTGTTGAGGCTGTTTTAAATTTTTAGGAATGCTTCTCCAGTTGTTCAAACTTGTATGTAAATATAAACACAACCGTTAAAATGGTGCTTTTTTACAGTTACCAAATAAGGTGTGTTCAGGGAAAACATGCTGCATGTGAGATTTTCTTCTCAACAATATTGGAAATCACCTGAATTCCTTAAAGATTGGTGTATGGAGGACAGCCCTGTCCACAAGAGGAGTCAGAATGGTGTCAGGGAGTGGCTGCAGTGTGAGAGGAGCCTGGTGAAAACACAAGATCTGAAGCATTGTGTGTGTTGATGCAGTCTTGGTGACTCACGAGATGATAATTAACGATGATAACGTTGGTTATTGATGTTCCTAGAGGAAAGCTCTGTTAACACATGGTGCCACTGGCAGGTTTAGAG